CCACCACCACCACCACCACCACCACCACCACCACCACCACCGGTGCAGGTGCGAAGGCGAATGCAAATAGACGGACTGATGCTGGAGCAGACCTACTCGTACAAGTACCTGTCGACGTGGCACGGCCTCCAGACCATTGCCCAGAAGGAGGGCTGGAGGACGCTGTTTCGCGGTCTGCACATAAACTACATCAAGGTGGTGCCCCTCGTGAGCGTTTCCTTCACCATCAACGACCTCATGCGACGGTGGATGGGCCTCAAGACCGAAGGCGGCGTCGAACGGTGATACACCGGCCGTATATGTGGGAAGATGTTTACATATATATTCTTACAACGTGGATTGTGTACTGCTCATGTTACGGATGTGGATGCGTCGCATCATCTCCCGAGCAGTGTCGGGCTCGCCGTTTTGCTATCATCGCTTCTTCCGCGTCTGGCGCACGGGTGCGAAGAGGCAGTTGCCCACGTTGGTGGTGGTTGCGTTGCCGACACCGATGCTGCCCTCGCTAGCTGCCGCCCGCCAATTCCGTGCCCATCATTGCCACACGCCGAAGGAGCAGCCCGACACGACGAACGAGGCGCACAGGAAGCCCTGGCCGGTGGGAAGGGTCTTGAGCGTAGGAGGCATCGCACTGTGTGTTCCCTCTGGTGCAGTGTCGAGGAGGCATGTCTTCGTGAGTTTGTAGTGACGATCGAGAGTGTGTCGAGGTTGGCTGCAGTGCCAAAAATACTGCAAGATCGTGGTTGGTTGGCGAACTATGATTTTCATTGGATAACAAAAATAGCTCTCTGCTGATGTCATGCCGACGTGGCATCAGCAGAAGCCACCGAACTTGCGCTCGAAAAAGACCGTACGCAAAAGCAGTCGAGATGGCAGCCACCTTCTTCCCTCAGGGGATAGCCCATCTCAATGCCGCTGTTGCCCAAGATAAGGCACAAAATTACAAGGAGGCCTTGAAGCTCTACGTTCGATCCCTTGAGTTCTTCATGGCAGGCCTAAATTGTATTTCCCCCCCCCCAAACATCCCACAAGCCCGTCTTCAATTTAATCTTACATCACTTCATTCGTACAATAGACAGCAAGAACGAGAAGACCAATGCCATCATTCGCACCAAAGCGAAGGAGTACATGGCCCGTGCTGAGAGGATCAGGGCTGCCCTCGACTCCGCCGCTGCGTCCGAGGCCTCGAAGCATAAGGCCGCCCCTCCTACCCAGACGCAGCGTACGTAGCCCTCTGCCCAATAATCTCCATCATCCCCCTCGTGCTCACCTTGCGCGTAGCATCGGCTGCGGCCGAGCCTGCGGCAGCAAGTGGGGCCACGGGCCGACTGGCTGGAAGGCAAGCCGACGAAGCTCTACGTTCTGCCCTGGGAGGTACTTTCTACAACTCACCACCCATGGGCAGGCTGTGCTGTGCTGTGTGGTGGTTGCTGACTCGTGGCCTTACGCCACCTTCTCGATGATGGTGGTGATGGCGACACAGACACGCTGCTGCTCGAGAAGCCCAACCTCGCGTGGGACGACGTGGCCGGGTTGGACCAGGCGCGCAAGACCCTCGAAGAGGCCGTCCTCCTGCCCCAAAAGTTCCCCCAGATGTTCGTCGGTACTTGCTCCCCCCCCCAAGCTCTTCTTCCTCTTCTCCCTCTCTCTCGTGCGCCGTTCGTTGTACACAACCCCCTCGAAGCTGACACGCAACTCGTTTTGGGGGGGGGGGGTTACTCGCGGTTGGTCTGGCAGGGAAGAGGAAGGCGTGGAAGGGGATTCTCCTGTACGGCCCGCCCGGTACGGGGAAGAGCTACCTGGCCAAGGTCATCGCCTCCGTGAGCAACGCCTCCTTCTTCTCCGTCTCCTCGGCCGACCTGGTCTCGAAGTACTTTGGCCAAAGTGAGAAGTACGCACATCCTTCTTGCAACTGCCACTGCCATCGTCTCCAACTGGTGTCATCCTGTGTGACAGGCTGGTGCGCGAGTTGTTCGTGATGGCGATGGAAAAGAAGCCGGCCAGTATGTTGCCCCCATCATCCAATGCTATGGTCATAAGGGCAAGGAAGAACTGACTCGGTGGTGGTTGGATGGGGAACAGTCATTTTCATCGACGAGATCGACGCCATCTGTGGTAAGCGGTCGGAGGGGCAGCAGGACTCCACCCTGCGCATGCAGACCGAGTTCCTGACCTGCATGACCGGTACGTGCGCCGCAGTGGTCCCCCATCTTCTTCTGCTATCTGCTCAGCCGCTCGCTCACCCTCCCCCTCCCCCGATTCCAGACATCGCCGAGGCCGAAGGGGTGCTCGTCATGGCCGCGACCAACAGGTTCTTGACCCATGATTGGTCTTATTACTGTGATCGCGCATCACGACCACTAACGGCCTTGCGTTGTGTCCAACGCGTACTGCAGGCCGTTCGATCTGGACCCCGCGGTACGGCGTCGGTTCGAGAAGAGGATCTACATCCCGCTCCCCAACGAACAGGCCCGTGCCCAGCTCTTCAAGAGTACGTCACGCCACATGCACCAGTCTGGACCTGCTCCCTTGCGTCATTACCGCTAACGGTCGCGTGGTTGGGATTCCGCAGTCCACTCCAAGAGGACGGCGTGCACCTGAGCGAACAGGAATTCCAGAGGCTGGCCCATCGCACGGACGGATTTTCGGGATCTGACATCCAGAACACCTGCCGCGATGCCTTGATGCAGCCTGGTACGGTCGCGTCCCCCCCCCACGCGCGAACTGTTTCCCTGCGGCGGCACGGGCGCACTGTGGACCGGCTCTCGCTCACCAGCAACACACACATACACCAGTGCGTGAGTGCCTGCGTGCGCAGTACTGGAGACCTGTGGAGGTTGAGGACGCGCAGGGCCGGGTGAGCCTCCGCTATGTGCCCTGCGCCGATCCCGATGTCGAGGGAGCCGAGCGCCTAGACATGATGCAACTATCGCCTGAGAGCCTCGTCGTGCCCGACGTCGGCCTGGTACGTTGCCTCCTCCCTCTGGTCTCTCTCTCCCCCCGCGCAACAAGCAGCTCTCCACACGAGACCCTTCCTTTTGTTGGCGTTGTTGAAGGGCGGAGGCCCACGACAACGCCGACGCGTGGTGATCGCTGAGCCGGGATGATGTGCTTCCGAAGCTGGCTGCCGTTGTCTCAGATCCTAAGCACAACTAATTTCTTCTTCTTTTTCTGTGGTAACGATGTGCGGTGGCAGGCGTACTTTGAGCAAACGCTGGCCACCATCAAGCCCTCGGTGGGCCGCGAGGACCTGAAGATGTACGAGGACTACACCCGCATGTTCGGCATGGAAGGCACCACGGCGGGCCTCGAAGAAGAGGAGGAAGACGACGACGAGGTGATCATTGTCTCGGCGCCCGGGAAGGGCAAGGAGAAGCTGGTCGAGATGGAAGTCGACGCGCCGCCGGCCAGCTCCACCAAGAGACGCCGCACTGGTGGCGCTCGCTCGGCCGCGCCGCGTAGGCCCGTTGTCGCCGTGTAGAGAGCTCTTCTACACGCCTTTTCTCGTCACGCTACACGACAATGAAGAAGACGACGAAGATAGTGGTGCCTAAAACGAGCAGTTGCATGAACAGCAGCGTTGCGTGGATGTCTTGTGTACGCGGCCGTACGAAAGGTGTGGTTTTAGTTGAGTAGGTTGTACAGGTTGGAACGCTTCTCCTGCTGCTGGTGGTGATGGAGGTTGGGTGAGGGCGAAGAGTCGTCGAGCATGGGCGAGTGCTGCAGCAGCTGGTGGTGGTGGCCAAAGGGCAGGGGCGAGCTGACGGGCGACAAGCCGTGGTCGCTATCATGGCCGCACAGCGGACTGTCCAGGACGCTGTTCCTGCGGGTCACGTTGGGGCTAAGGGCGGGCACGCCGACTTGCCGCTTCATCCGCCTCGTGTAGCGCATCCCGCACGCGTTGCAAAGGCTGCAGTACAACGAAGTGCGAATATGAGCAAGGTGTGCTTGGGGGGGGGGGCAGGGGGTAGAGGCGAAGAAGAAGAGACGTACGTGCTCATGCCCTCTGGACCGGAGCGCCACTGGTTGGTCTTGGTACGGCCACAGTCGCGGCACCTCTTGATCGGCTCGTCGTCGCTGGTGTTGGGGCTGGGGCTCGAGGTTGCGAGCGCCGCTTCTTCCTTCCTCTTCTTCTTGGTCGTGGGGGACGAAGTCGACGTGGAAGATGATGTCGAGGGCTCGGGCTTGCGCTTGCTCGACGTCCTGACGTCGACCGCTACATGAGGCGGCGACGAAGGAGGGCTGCTGGCTCTGAGCGTCGAAGTAGGAGCAGTCAAAGGCTGCACCGCCGAGGTCGAGACGGGGGGCAACTCGATGAGCGACACGTGCTGGGCGATGGCATAGCCCAGGCTCTGGAGGAGCACGTAGTCGAGCCCGCCCAGGACTCCCTCCTTGGCCGCCTTCTCGCTTACCGTACAGACCTGGCGCGCCATGTTGGCGATCTTGAGAGAAGAACGTAGCGGCGGCGTTAGAGAGTTGATGTACACACCCAGGAGACCGGTCATGACACAGCAGAAGGCAAAACAAACAACGTTGTGGTGGCGAACGTACGGTGGTGAAGATGGCTGCCTTGCCGGCTGAGGCCATGGCAGCAGGTGGGACCTGCTGGTGAAGGCCCGACAAGAAGGAAGAAGATGGCTGCGGCGGAGAGTTGTTGTTGTTGTGGAGATGCGCCGGCGTCGAAGTGGGTCGGAGGTGGAGCTGGTGAAGCTGGGGCTGGAGAGGAAGGCCGGAGTGCGGGTGGTGGTGCATATAAAGTGGACGACTCAGCCCAGACGTGGGTGGTTTACTAGATGACCTCGAAAAAGTCGTTGTGTGTAGCAATAGACGGGTGGTCGACGGTTGGAATGGATCGCGAGTGGCTGGTGATGGTGGAGAGTTGACCGGGTTGTTGAAGGTGGTCTGGCCTTGTGGATCGGACTTGAGAAGACGATGGAACTATGAATAAGGTGAGCGGAAGTAAAGAATGAAGGACCGGAAGAAGCGGAGGTAGTAGTAGATGTTGTGGATGTTGCTGGAGGGAAGGTAGTAGGAGTTTGGCCTTTCGATGTGGGGTGCTAAGGACGGGAGCGAGATGTACTCGCCGCAGAAGGGGAGGTGATGTGCTTGCTCGTGAAGGGAGGGTGAATGAGAATGAGCGATGTCGGACAACGGCTACATATACTGATGTTGGCATCAGCATCGCCGGCAGAACAAGCTGCACGTTCGGACCGAACCAGGGTGGCAACCAATGGCAGAGCGCGCTACCTGGACTGCGTGCTCGGCGTGCCGGCGTGGCCTTGCATCAGCACCAGCAACGCCCTGTTCTGTGCTCGGCGTGTCACGCCACGTGCAGTGCGCACTTTCCTAAGAGCGCGCTTTGCCTTGCAGCGGACCTTGTGTCGACCCGTGTCGGAGCACAACCACTTCCAAATGTCACTCGTCTTGGTTGTGACAAGCCAGCTCAAGCACACCTCGCAACAAGACCGCCGTTTGGTCTTGCCCGGTGTCCCGGTAGCGCTACGGATGGTCCGTCGGGAGAACGGCTTTCATTTATGGGCTACAGTGGAGCCAATGAGGTGAGCAGAAAAAAACCGGACACACAGGGATTGGCGGTATTACTTGAGTGAAAAGGCCAAGCAGTACCAAACGTGCACGAAAAACAATGGAGTTGCAGTTGCTTTGCCTGCGAGTTCTCCCGTGCATCAACCCGGGCATCATTCCACGCATTCCAACACAGGAATGTGTGCTACGTTCAGATAGAGCGAAATTTTTAATCATTTGTATGAAGCGGTGTCCGTGTGCCCACCCCGAGCGATCTGGCCGTGACGGGTGTAAACTCCACATCAATTAAGATAACATTGCCTGGTCGACGTAAAAGCCGCACAACGCCGTTTGCCGCAGCCACACGACAGGCTGTTGATTCACGCCACGCGAGGCGCCGAGTTGCCGAACGAAGAAGTTGGACGGACGTCATACCATCGATTGAAGTCACAAAAGGAGAAGAGGAAGAGAGAGAGATTCTTAGGATCACGAATCATTTTCGGAACACCTGATTACGCAAGGAATCGGGTAAAACAGGAAAGGGGCAGAAGAAGTAAGTCATCCCTCACATACAGATAAGAGGAGGGATGCACCCTCACGCGGTACATGCCCATCCCCACCAAGTTGGGGTGGGCAACCTCGCATTGGACGACGACCTCTACTTCAATCAGGAGTACTTTGACCCTGGGACAAATAATCAAGCCGGTACGCGTTCGTTTTCGCCCTGCACGCATTCATTCAACCATTCTATCCTTCGTCGCAGACCCTCGCAGCCCTTCCATTCAAATCCCCCCCTCTCCCAAATCTCCTTCACTTTTTTTGTATCCGAAGAACGAAAAAGAGCGAACGCGAAAAACGTGGAATCAATCCCACAAGAGAGAAGTCACGAGGAGTGCTCGCAAAGGGGGGAGGGCTGCTTTAGGCGGGCTCCACATCAACGACTAATCTCTCTCTCTCTCTCTCCATTGATGAAACGTTCGTTTTGTGGCATCTTCTCTTCCACTCAGATCTGTATGGGCAAATGGACCTACCCGGGTTCTCGCCACGACTGGCGCGACTGTCCGGCGGCAGCAGCGGGTTCTCGCTCTCGGGCGGCATGAGCGGCTTTCTGGGCTCGGGCGGCAGCAACGAGCTCTGGTCCCTCGGCTCTGGCGCAGCACAGCAGCAGCAGCAACAGCAACAACAGTACAACGTCGGCGCGGGAATGGGCAACGGCAGCGGCGGCATGATGATGGGCGGCTACCCCGGCCACATGCAACCGTCGATGCCCTCGCAGGTCGGCACCCAGGGCACCGTGGTGATGGGCCATCAGGTCCCTCCGCCACTGGTGCACCACAACGTGACCTCGACCCCATCGCCCGGGACCGACGGCGAGCATCGCGACAGGTGCGCGCGCCGTGCTTCGTTCTTTTTCTTCGTTCTTTTTCCTTTTGTTGTTGAACCGTCGTCGAGTTTTTTTCTCCTCTTCTTTCTTTTTGGCGGGCCGAGCGACTGACGCTTTTTTCGTTTTTTTTTTTTTTCCGTTTTGTGTTCCCATCGAGCAGTGACCCGGGTCCGTGCTGTTCGGGTCCGGTGATGGTGTCGCTCTACCACCGCACGCGCACGGCCAAGGGCTGGTCGCTCATCAGCGCCAACGACGAAGTGCGCGTCACCAAGGACCGCGGCAAGGTACCCACCACGCATCTCATCACCTTATCAGCCCCATTCACCTGAGCAGTACTGACGCGCGACTTCAAATCAAACCAAACCAAACCAACAAAAAACGAAACGGAAAACAAAAACGAACAGGTCATCAAGCTGAGGGCCGAGTGCAAGTGCGCGTTCGCCAAGGAGGACATCGAGGTGGATCTGATCGATCTGAAGGCCGTGCGCGCCGACAACACCAAGGACGGCATCCAAGTGGTGTCCATGTCCATGCCCCAGCAGGTCACCCTGCCCAACGGCGAGCAGGTCACCGGCATCGACATCGAGGTCAAGCTATCCAAGATCTGCAAGCTGCTGCAGTTCCGGGTGGCGATCAACAGCGGCAACTACTGCGCCTGCGTGGGCACGTCGGTCGAGTTCACCACTCACAACAGCGGCACCAAGCCCGTCACCGCGTCCAAGTCCTCGCCCACCTCCTCCTCGCAGCGCGTGCCCACCGCGCCCGGCCAGTCGCCCGCCGGCGCCGCCTCGTCGTCGTCGTCGTCGACCCCGCCACGGCCCCAGTTCGTGCCCGGCGCCCGGGCCTTCCCGGCCACGCCGCCTCCGCCGCCGCCCAAGCAGCAGCTCCACCACTCGCAGCAGGGCTTCCAGCCCGAGCCCCGGCCGGTCCCCCAGGCGCCGTCGTCCCAGCAGCACCACCAGCAGCACCCGTATCAGCAGATGCAGCAGAAGCCGCAGCAGCAGCAGCAGCAGCAGCAGTACCACCAGCAGCCGCCGATCGGCGCGAGCGGGCTCACGCACTCGTCGTCGCCGTCGAGCTACAGCAGCCCGATGTCGGACTACATGCAAATGACGGACATGTCGGGGGCCAAGAAGCGGAAGATCGAGGAGTCGGCCGTGGTGCCGCCGGAGCTGATGAACGCCGTGGCGAGCCGCGGCCGGGGCGAGACGGTGGTGGTCAACGGCGGGCTGGACGTCGAGGGCATCGTGCGGGCTGACGCCTTCCTGCAGTACTCGGACGTGCGGCTCAAGACCGAGATCGAGGACATCGTCGACGCGCTCGACATCATCGCCCAGATCGACGGCCACCGGTACCGCTGGAAGGCCGACAACCCCAAGTTCCCCGAGCGCGGCGGCGAGATGGCGATCGGCCTCATCGCTCAGGAGGTCCAAAAAGGTACGCGCGCGTGCGCCGCACACACTCAAGGCGCCATGGACCGCACACACTCAAGGCGCCATGGACCGCACACGCTGACGACACGTGTCGTGTGCACAGTGTTACCCGAGGCGGTGGTGGTGGACGAGGAGGGCTATCTGTCGGTGGCCTACGCCGAGCTCATCCCGGTGCTGATCGCGGCGTTCAAGCAGCACCTCGAGAGCTACCAGAACAACAAGGAGGAGTTCAAGAAGGAGTTCGAGGCCATCCGCGGCGAGCTCAGGGACAAGAGCAACCGCCTGAGCACCAAGGAAGAGCTCAACATACTCACCCGGCAGATGAACTGTCTCATCACCACTGTAAATAACCACAAGGTACGTGTCGTGTGTTGTATGTGCGTGTGCGTTTTTGAGTGGGTCACTGACTGTGCGATCTCTGCGACTTCTCCACAGAACAATCAGGACATAGAGAAGGGCGAACCGCACGTGCGGGCCGAGGCGGAAAGAAAGAAGAAGCGACGGAGGAGGCTCCTGATTGGCGGCGCGATCCTGCTCGGCCTCCTGCTGCTCGTGGTGGTGGTCATCTGCATCGTCGTGCCGGTGGCCGTCCTCGCCGGCGGCTCGTCATCATCGAGCTCCAACGGCAACGCCAATGGAAACAAGAATGGCAACAGCGCGGCTCGATCACTACGGGCCTATTCAGACCAGGGCGGGACCGGCTGGAGCGAGGCCGTCACGCAGCACGACCGAGGGGAGAGAGGCGGAGGGATCGGCACCACCGCAGCATCGGCTTCGACAACAGCACCAACAGCAGGGTCGACGGCCAGTGAGCGGCGGAGTAAAGAGCCGGCGGTGCGGTGGACGGCGGGCAGATGACCTGAGCGAAGAGAGACACCCTACAGACACACACTCCTGACTACCCTCCAAACAGAGAGAGCGGGCGTGCCGCCTCTTATTCGTTCGGCCGCTGAGAGGCAACGGACGTGACGAACGCCAGCAAAACAGTAAATATATATTTCCTTCTTTCCTCTTGAAAATTCACTATTTCCAAGAAAAGAAACAATAATTGTCGACACAAAAAAGGCGCCAAAATTTGAGTACTCAGCAGTCAAAAAGTCGTGTAGCGCAGATCGGATCACAGGTGCAAGAGGTGGTGCAGAGCATGGGTTCGCGAGGAGAGGAGATTCTGGCCCGCGTACAGCTGCGCATCTCCGCACTTGAGGATGAGCTGCAAAATGAGCTCGAAAAGCACAACCGCGCTGCGGTAGCGCACATCCAGCATCAAATTCAAGACTTGCAGGCCAAGTACAGCGGTACCACTCTCCTCCTCCCGTCTGGCTGGCGGCGTGTTCTTGGAGCTGATCTAGAATCTCCACGTCCAGACTACGTGATGAAAATTCACATCCTCGGCCAGATCCCCGATGACTACCGAGAAGAAGATTACACGAATCCTCCCCAACCGACCAAC